AGCCTTTCTCACCTCTCTTGGAGGCCCTCCAAAGGCCTGAAATGGCCCATTTCCCAACTCCCAGTGGGACAGGAAGTGACATTTTTTGCTGTCCCCAGCCTCCAGAACCTCTCTAGGAGTCTCTAGGAGCCTCCCTAAGAGTCTCTGGAGGCTGGGGAACAGCAAAAAAGTCACTTCCTGTCCCACCGGGAGTCGGGAAATGGGTCCTTTCAGCCTCCGTAGGGCCTCCAAGGGAGTGGGAAAGGCTGTTTTCGCCCTTCCCAGATAAATAGAGAGGATCTGTAGACAGGTAAGAAAGAAAAACGGGCCTTCCCCACCCCCCCAGGCCCTCCAGAGGCAGGGAACAGCCTGTTTCCCTACTTCTGGTGGGCCCAGAAGGCCCGAAAATCAGCTGGCCAGCGTGCGCATGCGCCCCAGAGCTGAGCTGGCATGCCCACTAATATGGCTCCACGTGCCACCTGTGGCACACGTGCCATAGGTTCGCCATCACGGGTCTAGGGTTTTCCTGCCTGAGCAGGTTGGACTAGAAGACCTTGAAGTTCCCTTCCAACTCTTTTTTACATTCCAAGACATACTCTTCCATTTGGAATAGTCTTTATGTCAGGGTTCCAAGTAACACCCCCAACAAAAGAAGATTCCAAGGCTTGAGTTTCCTCAAAGTTCCATTTTATTAGAGATGTCATGTTGGCACATCTGGGAAAACCCGAATCTGAAAGCTTCCACGTTTTCCCCCACCCAAAGGAAAGTCCAAGTCCCTGCCCAGCACCCACAAGTCCATCACATGGCCCAATCAAAGCACCGTCCCAAATGGAGATGCCTCCCAGTTCCAACCCTCCAGGTGCAAGATGTCCTTGACTCTCTGAGAAAGAATGTTTTTATGGCTATATATCACCCTGGCTCCATACAATCCCCCCTCCCAGTTTCCCACAGTAGGAAATGTGGAAGGCCTGAAGCTCCAAGGCAAAAGATGGCTTCCAGGTCTGACAGTTTACCAGATTGGCCTTGAGATATGGACCTCCACTGTCCATCATGGCTTTGACCCATTCAGGTTTTCACAGTAGAATAGAGAAAGTGTATCTCTGCCACATGCAAACTTCTCCACAACCAGCGAGAACAGGACCTATCCGTTTGGGAACAGCTTGGCCAATATGCCACAAATTCAGCCAAAACCCAGTTTTATTGCACAAGTTCTTCTGTGCAAGCTAGCATTTCTCATATGGACACAACCATGCAAGCCAGCATATTGTTATCTACATACTACCAACTTGGAGGTGAAGGTTGGCAGTAAGATACACTAAACCACTGAGAAGTCTAAAATTTTTGCTACGCTATCTTTCTATTAGAGGTGGCGCAGTGGTTAGAGTGCAGTACTGCAGGCTACTTCAGCTGACTACTAGCTGCAGTTCAGGAATTCAAATCTCACCAGGCTCAAGGTTGACTCAGCCTTCCATCCTTCTGAGGTGAGTAAAATGAGGACCCAGATTGTTGGGGGCAATATGCTGACTCTGTAAACCGCTTAGAGAGGGCTGTAAAAGCACTATGAAGCGGTATATAAGTCTAAGTGCTATTGCTATTGCTATTGCTATTGCTATAGGGATGTTGTGGGGCTTAGGGCGTCAAGAAGTCAAGATAGGAATTCAACTGTGCATTTGAAGCCTTACAATAATCAGGAGGCTGTGAGTTTGATCCTAGGTAGATGCAGATATTTCTCTGTCTGGGTGCAATGAGAATAGATTTGCTGAAACAATCTCCAGATTGGTGACAGGAAGGGCATCTGGCCAGTAAACACTCAGATCCATTCAGTTGCCCAAGACTCCATCCCGCAAGGGATTATGGGGTCTTTAAACGAAGACGATGATTTGAAGCCTCACCTCTTTTTTATCTGCCGGTAGAAAAGTAGAATATCTATTAATAGCAAAGGTAGCACAAGAGGAACAGGGTTGTACAGCCTTGATGCCAATATTTAAGAGATCTTGTTTCTTTTGATTTCCACCCATCTGACATCTGTGATGATGTGATAAGAAACAGCTGCTGATGCCAATCTCCCGGGCTTGAACGGTTCATATTTTTATCAGCCAAATGCAGAAGCCAGGCAAGTGGTTATCAGGTACAAGTAAATAATGTTTGCTTGTAACTAATCAGAACAAAGACCGTGCTTTTTAACACATTGCAATTGGAAACTGTAGTTGCAGGAGAAGACCTACTGTTATGCAGAATAAGGCAACAGCCTTGGTAGTACAGGGGTTTAAGGCATCCTGTTATTAAGCTGGTTATTAAGACCAGCTACCTGCAATTACTGCAGGGTTCGAATCTCGCCAAGGCTCAAGGTTGACTCAGCCTTCCATCCTTTCTAAGGTAGGTGAAATGAGGACCCAGTTTGTGGGGGCAATAAGCTGACTTTGTATAAATATACAAAAGGATGAAGGCTATTGCTGAGCACATTGTAAGCCGCCCTGAGTCTTCGGAGAAGGGCAGCATACAAATCAAATTAAAAAAAAAAAACCAGGTTTCTATATCGTGAAAAGAATACTACTTTTAAGTATGAAATTTTTAACAGTCATATACATGTCTGTGGGAATCTCCACATCAGAGGTTAGGTGATTTGGGGGACTGTAAGGGTGGGGATCCCTAGTGCTGCCTAACGGGGTGAGCTCCCATTACTTGTCCCAGCTTTACCTTTACTGGAGACTTTGTTCCTTCAAGCTCAAATCAGAAAACTATCTTGGTTGCCAAACCTCCTGTTTGGCAACCTAACCAATTAAATGTGACTAGTAATGAGAGAGACTGCAGATTTTGTGCCAGTGATAAGTCTGGTCGATCTGGAGATGTGTTCAGTAAAGGTTCCCCTCACACATATATGCTAGTTGTTCCCGACTCTAGGGGATGGTGCTCATCTCCATTTCAAAGCCACTGTCCGAAGGCGTCTCCGTGGTCATGGGGCCGGCATGACTAAATGCCAAAGGTGCACAGAACGCTATTACCTTCCCAACAAAGGTGGTCCCTATTTTTCTACTTGCATTTTTTACGTGCTTTCAAACTGCTAGGTTGGTAGAAGCTAGGACAAGTAACAGGAGCTCACCCCATTACGCAGCACTAGGGATTCGAACCGCTGAATTGCCGACCTTTCGATCGACAAGCTCAGTGTCTTAGCCACTGAGCCACCATGTTCCTATAGCCACCATGTCCCTATGTGTTCAGTAGGGCACTATTAATCCTAGTTCTCACAATAATTAGGGGGGCATCTTCATGACCTTCTGTAAAATCTTCCTTCAAGCTTACCATTTTCCATTTTTCTTTTAACTTCCTTCCCCCAAAAGAGTCAGATAATATTGTAATGCACTACATTACTGGAACCCGCACTGCATATCGGACATTAATACAACTGAGCGAGTCCAGAGATATTTCACAAGAAGAGTCCTCCACTCCTCTGCTCGCAACAGAATATCTTATGCCACCAGGCTTGAAATTTTGGGCTTAGACAATTTAGAACTATGCCACCTTCGGTCTGACCTAAGCGTAGTGCACAAAATTATCTGCTACAATGTCCTACCTATCAATGACTACTTCAGCTTCAACCACAACAATATACGAGCACACAATAGATACAAATTTAAGGTAAACTGCTCCAAACTTGATCGCAGAAAATACGACTTCAGCAACAGAGTGGTCAATGCCTGGAATGCACTACTTGATTCTGTAGTTTCTTCCCCAAACCCCAAAAACTTTAACCTTAGACTGTCTACTGTTGACCTCACCCCATTCCTAAGAGGTCTGTAAGGAGCGTACATAAGTGCACCAGCGTGCCTACCGTCCCTGTCCTCAGTTAATGTCCTAACTGAGCCTGGTGGCGCAGTGGACTAAGTGCTGTTAAAAGTAGCACTTAAGTTGCCAGCTGCCTGCAATTACTGCAAGTTCAATTCTCACCAGGCTCAAGGTTGACTCAGCCTTCCATCCTTCCGAGATAGGTAAAATGAGGACCCGGATTGTGGGAGCAATAAGCTGACTTTGTATAAAAAGAACACTGCTTAGGGGGGGTCGAAAGCCCTATTAAGCAGGTATATTCAAAAGTATGAAGGCTATTGCTTAAAGCATTGTAAGCCGCCCTGAGTCTCTGGAGAAGGGCGGCATATAAATTGAACCAATTGAACCAATAATGTCCCCATTTATTCGTATCCATTTCATGTATTTATAATCATGTTTATACTTATATCTGTTATGTAATACATGCTTGACAAAATAGATAGATAGATAGATAGATAGATAGATAGATAGATAGATAGATAAATAGATAGATAGATAGATATTACAACCATCTGAATTTTGGATAGAGGTCAAGCAGGCAGGTCTATGATGGGACCAAACAATGGGAAATACAAAGTACAAACCACAAATATTCCCTCCACACCAACCACAAAGGCTGAAGGCTGTTCCTCCCACTCTTTGTCTGGTTCGTACCAATGTGGCATGCTACTCAAAAGCACATTCTTGTAGTAAGACGAGATAGGTTGCATTTTTCTTTCAATTAAAATTAGCATTACCAAATACTATCTTTACATTACAGCTGTAGCTAATATTTTTAAGAATGATTGCAATGCACTCAATATCAGTAAAGCTGTTCTCATATTTAGGATCATTGTAATGCATTCAATAAAACACATTCTTTACCCTCTTTAATTCAAAAGCAACGCCTAGAACTTGTCTAGCATCCTAGGACCTATGCATACTTTGGCTATCACAGTGAAAAGTGAGAGATTTACTTCACAGCAAGGAACAAGTAAAATCCTTCCTGTATAAATTGAAGTCCTGGTGATTTCTAATTCATTCAGGAAGATGAAAATCAAGAAGGTAGCCTGAAGAACCCTATATGATTCAATAGCAGAAGGAAGGAAGGAAGGAAGGAAGGAAGGAAGGAAGGAAGGAAGGAAGGAAGGAAGGAAGGAAATTGCTTGTGGGGAAAAAGGATAATGCAGAAGGGAAGGGGAAGGAATCAAGTATCTTACCATAATGAATGTCTTCTCTTTCTCTGGCAACTTGACCACCAACCCACCAAATGTCTATTGTGTTTTTATATACAGCATTATTCTGGAGTAAAAATATGCCCACTCCAAGTTTAGACAATAGATGCAAGATTAGAGATGGTTGCAATTGGATCTCAGTGCCATTCCACACATATCCCACTTTTGTTTTCCTCAAATTAACTCAGCATGTAAGTAGAACAGGAAAGCTGAGACCACAGGGAGAGAGTGAGGCTGAAAATCTTTTCCAGGTGCACCAATCCTTCTGGTATTTTTTTTTAACCACCCGGATTTCCCAGAACAGAAGGATTATCGCAGGACACTAAGATAAAATAACACAGGACACTAAGTGAAATAGGATTATTTTAAACCGTGAATCTATACATTCCGGCTGGTAGGTTGGATCTAGGATTAATCATATTTTACTGCTATTAAATTAATGAGACAAAAATTAAATTCTCTGTCAGGTCAGTCATGACTGCTATGGACGACCTGCAGATCCCTGCAGGATTTTTTGGGCAACATTTTCTTGGCCGTGGTGGCCATTACCTGCTTCCTAGGGTTCAGAGAGATTCATTGGCCCAAAGTCACTTAGTTGGCTCCATGCCTAATGATCTCCTGTTTTCTAGCCTGGCACCTTCAACCACTACACGAAACTGGCACTCAATGAGTCAAAGGTCTGAGTAATTTTAATTAGCTACAATCAACTATCAATATTTTATAATGTTCACATTGGTTGGGACATTCTGGAACTGAAGCAGTGGTGGTATTCAGCCGGTTCAAACTGGTTCGGGTGAAGCGGTAGCGGTGACTGCAGGTGGGCCCGCCTGTTGTGACCAAGGCCCAAGTAGTGATTACCAAACACAATTCAGTCCTCAACAAACTTATTTTATTAAAACCGCTGAGAATTAATTCATTCTCAGCTTAGTCCAAAACAAAATTCTTAATAACCGGTCCGTCGGCCTTATCACCAACCTTTGATGTCTTTGGCAACCTGCCAAAGACTTTTCTTGGCAAAACCCCCACAAAATTCAAGAGACGCTGGCAAGAAGCACTGGAATCAACATTGCTTTTCTACAAAGAACCCAATGGCTCGTTGCTGCTCTTTTAAGCCTTATGGGAGTGGCCAATCATCTCCTGGCCTTACTCCTGAGTCGTCCTTTTTGCTTTAGCTGCTCTTGCCTTCTGGCAGCTTTTCGCATGTGTGCACTAGGAAGAGGCTCCTCCTGTTCCTCCGTCTCTCTGCTGTCTGCCTCTGGAGGCTCCGGAGTCCGTGCATCGCTCCCAGATAGCCCTGGCCCCATCTCTGCCTCTGATGCAGAGCCCTCATCCAGGCCTTCCCCTGACTCCAGGCCTGGCCCATTGTCCTCCCCAGCCTCCTCACTGTCCGACTCCACTGCCAGGTCCGCAGGCTGCTGGCGGACCACAACATCGCCCCACCCATCTGCCCTGGCGTAATACTGTCCTATTTAGCCACATTTTTGAGGCCAAGTGCATGCGCGGAAGGTTGTGGGCATACACAGATGGTGCGCGAGCGCAAAGCGAGTGTGCGCACATCAGCGAGCCAGTGGTAAGAATATGTGAAACCCACCTCTGAAGTGAAGCTTCACATATTAATATTGCCAAGGTTGAAAAACACTGGTCTAGTCTTCCCAGGAGAACACTAGGAGACAAAAACATTTGTTCCATAATAGTATTCTCAACAAATCTAACATTCGCTTCTTAAATTATTTTACAAAAAAAAAAAAAACCTAATATTTTAAGGTCAATGTAATCTTTTGTTTTCCGTCACACTTTCATTATGCTTCCTGCAGGGTTTCATCCAAAGGTTACATCTGACAAACTTATAATCGAGCAGCACACTCTCCAAAGAGTTGGTGGATTTCAAATCCCATCATTCCTCATTAGTTTTATTTACTTTATTTAAAAGGAATAAAATTTATTGCATTCAGTTTTGGTTGCCGTGATGTAAAAAAGATGTTGAGACTCTAGAAAGAGTGCAGAGAAGAGCAACAAAGGTGATTAGGGGACTGGAGGCTAAAACATATGAAGAACGGTTGCAGGAACTGGGTATGTCTAGTTTAATGAAGAGAAGGACTAGGACTAGCAGTGTCCCAATATCTCAGGGGCTGCCACAAAGAAGAGGGGGTCAAGCTATTCTCCAAAACACCTGAGGGCAGGACAAGAAGCAATGGGTGGAAACTAATCAAGGAGGGAAGCAATTTAGAACTAAGGAGAAATTTCCTGACAGTTAGAACAATTAATCAGTGGAACAACTTGCCTGCAGAAGTTGTGAATGCTCCAACGCTGGAAATTTTTAAGAAGATGTTGGATAACCATTTGTCTGAAGTGGTGTAGGTTTTCCTGCCTGGGCAGGGGGTTGGACTAGAAGACCTCCAAAGTCCCTTCCAACTCTGCTATTCTGTTCTGTTCTGTTCTGTTCTGTTCTGTTCTGTTCTGTTCTGTTCTGTTCTGTTCTGTTCTGTTCTGTTCTGTTCTGTTCTGTTCTATTATTTATATTTATTTATTTGAATCCTGCTTTTATTAGTTTTACAAATTATTTTAAAAAATGAGGCCCATGGGTCAAATATGGTCCTTTTCAATTTCTCATTCCAAATTTATTGGTTCAATTTATTTATTGGTTCAATTTATATGCCGCCCTTCTCCGGAGACTCAGGGTGGCTTACAATGCATTAAGCAATAGCCTTCATACTTTTGTATCTCTGCTTAGTAGGGTTTTCGCGCCCCCCACCCCCAAGTGGTGTTCTTTTTTATACAAAGTCAGCTTATTGCCCCCACAATCCGGCTCCTCATTTTACCTACCTCGAAAGGATGGAAGGCTGAGTCAACCTTGAGCCTGGTGAGAGTCGAACTTGCAGTAATTGCAGGCAGCTGGTGCTAATTAACAGCACTTTAGTCTGCTGCGCCACCAAGGTTCTGCTATGCTATGATTACTTCTGTCCTGCTTTGTTCACAATGGAGGAACTCCTGGACACAACATTGTGTAAACTAGGGAATAAAATTACAGGTAATCCTCCACTTACGACCCCAATTGAGCCCAAAATTTCCATTGCTAAGCCCGAACAGATGTTAAGGGAGTTTTGCCCCATTTTTACGACTTTTCTTGCCACAGTTTTCAAGTGAATCACTACAGTTGTTAAAGTGACTTTAGCTTCCCCATTGACTCTTCTTGTTGGAAGTTTGCAAAAGGGGATCACATGACCCTGGGGCACTGCAACTGTCATAAATATGAGCCAGTTGCGAGATGTCCAAATTTTGATCACTTCTAACAGTCACTAAGTCAACAGTTGTAAATCAAGGACTACCTGTATCTAAATGAAAATGCCTTTCCTCCCGTTGCAAATCAATATCTCTTTCCGCTTATTTATGGTGTTGGCCACGTATATTGTTCGAATGCAAAACCTCTACTGAAGACAATGTGGGTTCATTGGCATCCTTCAGTCTCAAGAGACTATGGTATCGTGCTCTGGAAAGAGGTCCTAAATCAGCATCTAGTATGACTAAAAAGGCCAATTCGAGAGCGGCAATCCCTTCCACACTGAGGGCAGATACATTCTGTCCCCTGCCCAGTCCCCAGATTTTGCTGGTTCCGGGACTGCCTCTTTGCCTCAGCCTGCCGAACAAATGTCTCTTCGAATTGGATCAATACTCACAATGTGGGTATTGAACCTCTGATACAATCTAGAACATCTGCTGCTAAATTTTAATCTCGGACATCCTCAGAAGAAACTCAGAAGACAAAAAGATGCAGACGTTTGGTTAAACACAGGGGTGGGCTTCAAAAATTTTATCAAGGAGTTCCCTGCCCGGTTGCTGGGTGGGCGTGGCCATGGTGGGTGTGGCCTAGTCAGCCTCCTACACCAAGGTGGGGGGCGTTTTTGCCCTCCCTGAGGTCTGGGGGCTTTCCTCGAGTATCCAGGAGGGCAAAAATAGCCTCCCAGGTGCCAGAGGCCCTCTGGAGGCTGGAACAGGCCCGTTTCCAGCCTTCCTGAGCCTCCGCGCGCGACCTGCACTTACCTACATACAAAATGGGTCGCGTGGGGACTCCTGGGAGGGACAGGGTGGGCGGGGTCAGCCAGGAGTGGGATTTGGGGGTTCTCTGAACTGCACAGAATCTTAGCTAGAGGTTCTCTCGAATCCCTTCAAACCCCCAGCAGCCCATCCCTGGTTATACACTCAGGGTTTCTAACTTGATTTTTTTAATCCGCCCCCAGGAAATAGACAAGAATATGATTTTATAATTTTAATCAAATAAAAAATGAATATTCCTGTACCTAAAGAATATGTGTAATAGTGAGAAATAATTTAATTGGATTTTGATTCCTGTTTAGTTCTAAAATCTCCACAGTGGAAATTCTGTTGGTAAAATATTTTGTCTTTCACTGTCTGGATTCTTCACACAGCTGAATTCCAAGTCTGAACACAGAAGTACTCAAAGAAGGAGAACTGAGAATTTTTTAAATACCTATAAAAAGGGAAGGCATATGTTTATTTAATCTACCCTGCCCTAAGAATATCCATCATTCAACCTGCTAATTAGAAGGACAGCTGATTCAGCAAATAATTGCCTTATAAAACCCAGTGGAGGAAGAAGAGAAAAAATGCACAAAGATAAAAGGCTCTGAATGTTTACTTGAAATATCATCTACCAAATTCCAGGTTTCAGGATTTCTTCTATTATAACAGAATAACAGAAAAATGGAGTTAGAAAGGACCTTGGAGGTTTTCTAGTCTGACCCTTGCTCAAATAGGAAACCCTTATTTTTCTCCAATGTTGGGCTTTTTTTGTCCCCAGCAGATTTCCACGAACCATTTTGAAAATCTTCAGGGCTGCCACAGCAAGGCCGGGGTCAGCTGTGGGAATGTGAGGGGGAACCCTGACACACAAATTTTGTGATTTCCACTGCTATTTGTGTTACAGCTACTATAATAATGCATTTTATGTAATTTTACTTATTTCTAAATAATATTACTAATAATTAGAGGTCTACGTATTTTCTGGTTGTGTTTTCTGGCCCAAAGTCCATAACAAAGGATTAAAAAAAAGAAAAGAAATTAATTCTGAACTCTC